CATGTTTTTTACATTAGTCCAGACTGGACAAACTAAACACTTTTAATTTTTTATGACAGTTAAAGTCTACCACAGTTTCTTTTTCACTTTTGGAAGGAGGGGGGGTGGTCAGTTGCAACATGCAGTCTTTAAGTGTGAGGGGAAGTTCTCTCTGTACTTTCACTCTAACCTCTGAAGCCAGTTTAAAACGTCTCCTTTAAACTCTTTCTTTGTGGATGTATGTCGACAGGTTTTCTCTCCACGGGGGTTACATGTCGCCGTGCCGCGCTGCAGGAGCTGAGCTCAAGGACACTTCAGCAGACAGGAAGTGAAGTCTGAAACTCCTCAAGTGCAGGTACGATGCTACACTTTTCTTTTCTCTCACTCCTTCCACCGGGACATTTGTTTACTACCTGAACCAAGGAGGTTCTTTTTAATCTTGTTAGCAGGATTACGCAAAAAACACTGAACCGATTCCCATGAAATGTTGTGAACAGTCGGGCTGTGACACAAGGAACAACTCCTGAGTCCTGATTAAGAAAAATCAGACACATTTAGAGGCTGATGTTATTAGTGTGAGCGATTTGGTTCAGCTTGATTTAACTTGTTCGACTGTTGGGCCTCGGTGGAGGTTTGTGCTCTCTGAGTTTTTAGTTTCATTATGTAAAGATCTTAGAACTGTGGTTAGGTAATCCACCTCGGTGTAGGCTGCTGTACATCATGTCTGAATTTATTTTTGTCGTGTGTTTTTGTAGATTTCAATCATTACTCATAAAATACACCCACATACATCAGCAGTGAAATCCAGCTGAAGAGCTGCTGATGCTTCAAACCTGCTGCAGAGGGAGTTCAGAGGGAGAGAGAGGGACACGGACGAGTGGATGGAAGAAAACTGAAGTTAGTTGAGGAGATAAAGGTGAAATAGAGAAAACGGGTGGATTTGTAGACTGAGGAAAAAGAAAAGAGGAATCGTTCTCCATTTCTCCACTTTGTTCCATGTTCGTCTGCTTCATGGACGTCAGTGGTTTAAATAAACTTTGACCTCAGGAGCTCGGAGAGCGGTGCTTTCAGTGCAGACCTGTGAATTAATATTCAGTGAAAGTGAAAGTTGTGCTCTCATCAGCACCTGGAAGAATCTGAAGGTGTTTGTTTGTTTGCAGCGTCGCACAAAAACCTCTGGATGGTTTATCACAAAACTTGGTGGGAGGATGTGTTGTGTGTCAGAGAAGAACCCAATTAATGAAATGAAGAAATAAAGAAATCAGGCATGTTTCAGGAACTGATATCTGTGAGTGTGTTTCAGGAACTGATATCTGTGAGTGTGTTTCGGGAACTGATATCTGTGAGTGTGTTTCGGGAACTGATAT